TCTGGATAAAAACTTCCAAATCTCGTGTATATATAAGCGAGGCATTTCAGCATGCTACTGTGGCTGCTTTCGTCACTCGGGCGCACTGCCGTGCGCTGTGATGAATATATGTATGTATGTAGGATAAGTGATAATTTATGTATTTAGAGTAAGAATTTATGTAATATATACATAAAGGTTCTGGGAAACCAGAAGTTAATATAGTGCAAAATTCTCTCCGGTTGTGTTATTTAAAGTATTTTAAAGTTAATAATATACAAACAGTATCATTAAAGTGCTCACGCTACGCTCCACGTCATCTCTATANACGAATCAAAACATCCTGGAACAAAACCTTCTTAGTTTTTTTTGTACTTTAATTCCTGAAAGTTTGAAAGAAATTAAATGAAGGTACGTACAGACGCCACATACATACCAAAGCATCTCGTAGTGGAGACACGAAACAAAACACATTTAGCTCTATATCTTTCCAACTAGTAGCCGGAACTTAATATATAAGGTATCGTTTGAAAGGTATTGACCAATAGAATAACACTAAGTATGTTGGGTGTACCCACATGCCCCCTTACACCGGCAAAAGCAAAAAAATATTTTTTGTTTCGCAACACTTTAGCCTAATTTTTAAGAATCCGGTTAATCGTTTATGAAGCTTGAATACATTTTCTGGACACACTCTGCAGAACCTTTCCAACGATACCTGAAACATGTCGATTGGACGTCTGGATAAAAACTTCCAAATCTCGTGTATATATAAGCGAGGCATTTCAGCATGCTACTGTGGCTGCTTTCGTCACTCGGGCGCACTGCCGTGCGCTGTGATGAATATATGTATGTATGTAGGATAAGTGATAATTTATGTATTTAGAGTAAGAATTTATGTAATATATACATAAAGGTTCTGGGAAACCAGAAGTTAATATAGTGCAAAATTCTCTCCGGTTGTGTTATTTAAAGTATTTTAAAGTTAATAATATACAAACAGTATCATTAAAGTGCTCACGCTACGCTCCACGTCATCTCTATAACTTTGAAAGTTCTTTGTTAATTTTTCTGAAATTTGCTTTTGCAAAAACATATCTAGTACTTGAACTATACGACTTATTATTATGTATATATTTCATTTATGATTGCGTAGCTTAACTCAAGAGCGGGGTGGTATGCATCCCCTGGCAAAATTAGGGGATCACACCGATCAATAGAGGACTTCGGAACATCATCAACATAAACGAGATCCAAGACCTTCCCAAACTTATTTGGACATATATTTATATGTTTAAAAGCTTAAACTGACGGCAGGGTGATCCGGATGAACTCGGACTTAATCCGGATCAACTGCAGTTAATTCCCGAGTTGATCCGGATCAACGCTGCCGTCTGTTTATGCTTTAAGGCAAAGTTCAGCAATTTCCTCCAGAAATACATTGTAACTATCTCTAGATGAAACTGGTACAACATCGGTGTCAATAATGTTCCATGAAATATATGGCATATTTGAATCGCCCAAAACAATCATAGAATCGGATGCCGTAAGCATTGCATTTACGGTCTCAAGTAAAGAAACTGGCTGCATATATACTAATACGGCAGAATTAGGAGGGATGTAGTAAAGAGCTAAATAAATATAACTTTTCCAGCCTGTCCACGTATAAATTTAAATTCGGTATATTCAATGACAGGAACACTGCGATTCTGCCCTCGTGGTCGCTCCTGTATATTTGATATTCATTTGGAAGAATTTCGGAATTAAAAATATGAGGTTTGAGCCATGTTTCGGTCAAGGAAATAATATTATAAATGCAGCCAAAACCTTTTAAATATGTCAGTTAATTTGGTATTCAAATCTCTAACGTTTTCATAGTAAATACTTAAATTTCCCAGACGTTTATCCACACTTTTTTAATTTTTTACTTTATTAAGCAAAACTAGAGCCAATCTGGAAAAATGGGGAACGCCATTGAAATTAAAAGATCCCAGTCAAGTAAAATCAGAAAACCTTTGCCCAGAAAAAAACTTAAAAATCTGAACACAGTGTTTTAAACGACGGAAAATTCACTTTCAGAACTCTAAAACTTCCCCTCAAAATATCTCAAAATTTTGACGTGATACGGATTTTCTGAAAACGCAATCGTAATCCAGAGGCAAAAATTAAGTTTACGTGTTTGGTCGTTTAGCTGTGATATTTTTGCCTCCCTATAGTGTTATTGAAAGTCATAAGAACTATCAGCTTTTTGTGTTCGCGTACGCAAAAAACTTGCAAAGTAGGGGAAATTGAGAGAGCAAAATGACATTTCATTTTGAGGGAAAGCTGCTAGTTT